TGTTCTATCCGTCCTTCGTCGGATTACCGCCAAGAAATATTGTTTCGTTTCATTCATATTACATTGTCGGCTATTTCTCCCTCTTCTCACGGTTTTTACTGCAAACCCTTTTAGCTTCTGTAACGACTGTTCTTCCAAAGTTTGCGACATGGTTAATCTGCTCTCTCTACTCTCTTCCCTGATGTAGTTAGAGCCCAGAAAAAGTTTGCCAACGAGATCATGTAAGGAACTTTTTTTGAAAAATATCGCATTCTTACTGTAACTCCGAGGTTTCTATGTATTTATGTCACTGTATAATTCAGATATTCTATACAATACCTAGGCAATATTTAGAATACCTGGGTTACCCAGGCAATGTATGAAATACTATGAATATTATTTTCCATTGCAAACTTTACCTAGGTAATGAAGACAATTCCTAGGGATTGTATAGAGTACCTGCTGTTCTACCGGCAACATGTAAAATAAATAGATCTTGGTCTAAATTTAACAATGTTAACCGGCATACCTAGAAATTGACGGACAAATGAAACAAGTCATATTATTTAAAATAGATCTTGGTCTAAATTTAACAATGTTAACCGGCATACCTAGAAATTGACGGACAAATGAAACAAGTCATATTATTTAAAATCAACTTTATTAAAATTAACACTTAAAGTGCTCCTTAAAAATAAGCTTTATGAAAAGTGTACAAAAAGCATCTTTCTGTTATTACAATGAAAATCACAGTTAAACTAACGTGGTACTAAAAATTAGGCTTGGTTCAGATGACGCGCGTGCGACGCGCGTCGACGTTGCTCACGTTTGTTGTGTCAGTGTTCAGATGGCACGCGTACGACTTCGTACAACTTTTATATAGAGTGAGACTATGTGATCGAGTGTCAGTTTATTGTGTTTAATAAACGAGAATGGATGTGGGAGAAGCTGTTTGTATTTGGTTAGCATATAGAAGAAGTAAACGACGTAGGAGGGAAAGAACATACTGGGTTCACCCAATTTTAAGCTTTGTACAAGTTTATACCTTACACTGTATCCTGGCCTTCGAATGCATGAAACAAAATTTTTCAATTACTTTAGGATGTCAATAAAATCGTTTGATAACTTACTGTCCACCATTAAGGATGATATTGTAGCAGATGCAAATGCAGTAAGGTATTGCATTTCACCAGAAGAAAAACTCTTTGTTACACTGAGCTATGTCGAATGCACGTTTGGTATTGCGTGTAACAAATGGCGAATATTACACCGGCCACTGGATGTAAACAGAATTCGCAGAGAGCATTGTATTTACAAAATTACGTACGAGTTACTGATGGATATAATTTTGAAGATATACTAAGCACAGCGCCACTGACAACATCAAATCGGTAAACATACTGGTCGTAATATAAAGGCTGCAGATAGGGTTCTAGTAAAATTGACAAAGTACTTGGTGAATGAAGGGAAACTTGAATAGCAGGATAGAATGATCTAGATTGTTATCTTTATTGTAAACATCAATTATAAATAAAGCATTACGAACAACCGTACCTAATATTTTCTTTTTTACTTCGGTGTCATCGGATTTGCAAAGAATTAGGACCATTTCCTCCAAGGCGCGTCTTTTTGCCGTCTTATTTGAGTATAACGTGGAATGCATGTCCCAAACGGCTGGGCTCTTTTTAATTTCGTCAATGAAAGGATCGGTGTTTAATTATTCTACTTCCATTTTACTAACTACTATACCTACGGAATTATTTTTTTGCAAGACACACCTGGTATGTCGCCTGGATGCTAAGAAAGACGCGCGCCAACTGAACAGAAAGTGGGAACGTCTGGTATTTCAATACGCGCGTCGACGCTGATCGACCTTAAGGGCACGTTCAGATGACACGCGTTCAACGCGCGTTGAACGCGCGCTAAATTTTTGTATAGTGTTCACATGACACGCGCTTGTCAGGCGTTGAACGCGCGTTACCGCGGCCGCCATGGTTCAGTCAGTAGAGTTGTTATATTTGTCGAAGATGGACGTAGAAACAGTTTTAACGGTGATTTTATACCGACGATGGCAGAAACGACGCGACAGAAGACGGCTACAATTATGAAGATACACTTTATACTCTACCACTGGAAAATGTAGCCTCACATTATACCGGGCGTGCTGTGCGACAGGCGGATAATGTTCGAGTACATTTAACAAATTATTTCATCAACGAAGGAAAAGTTGATTGCTTGGATCGCAATATTTAATTTGTAACACAAACTGATTGTAAATGTAAATAAATATACTCACATAATAATTTCTTCTTTTCCACATTGTCATCTTGTCATCTTTACACGTCGCAGGACGTTTCTCTATTTCATCTATCAATAATTCCGTATTAAAAGCTTCGGTTTCCATTTCGGACGATTTCTGAACGAACTGGTACTGATGAACCCTAAAATACGTCTATCCACATCGAAAGCGCGCGCTCAACTGAACGGAAACATAGAGAACCAATGATCTCAAAGCGCGCGTTGACGCGCGCTGACAACAGTCAAGCGCTACACAGCGTTCAACGCGCGCTTTATTAAAACGTGCGTCAGCATGTGTACGGCTTGAATAAAATGTATGTAGTTGTAAACGCGCGTTATCAAAACGCGCGTTGAGCGCTTGTCATCTGAACGTGCCCTAACTGTTGCATCTGTATAATCTGTGATAAATCCGTGTGGATAGTGGAGATGATACACTAGAGCAGGGTTTCCCAACCTTTTTTCTGTTGAGGCTCCCCGGACTATAAATTATATTTTCATGCCGCCCTTTACTTTTTCAACGAATACAAAAAAAACGCACATTATATAGGTACAAAGACTTATTTTAATTCTAATAATGACACTTTAAAAGTCTAAGGCCCAATTTCACCAACAACAGTCCGTTATTCTCCACCTATAGGGTAGCAGACCGTCAGATACAGCGAATGAGCTTCAAGTTCCAATCAACAAATTTTAGCAACCAATAGCTATGAAATGTTGAAAACAAAATACTGTCAAAGTATGAGATGACAACTTGTCATTGAAAGATTACCAGCTTATTGAATATTAAGAAATTACATATAATTCAGTCAAAATTTTAAGAAATGTTTGATTTTTGAATTAAATTCATGTTTTAATTACTATTGTTGGTTTTTTATTCATGTTTATATTATTTTCTTCAACTGATAGGTGATACTGGGTGTTTTTTCCTATAAACCTCTTGCAGATAGCCATTAAGCACCTACTTGATGACAGGCTCTACCAAAAGATATTGCTCGTTTCCAACTCACAAATTTGAAGATTTTGTACAATTTCTTTGAAAATGACGAAAGATATGTTTGATTTGGCAGGGTAATGTCGCAGCCAAATGGCAGTCACTCTTACTGACACAGTCCGGATCGATCGAAAGATGACGATACTCGTGAAATGTATTGATAATTCTAAATATAGGATCCTATCGAACATCCCTACTGTCAAGATGTATAACCCAAGGTACCGACCGAGCTATTTTGCGGCGTCATGGAAATAATTTTAAATTTTCATTTGCATTTTTCGAGTGTTGTGCAATGATTTTGGGAAAAATGTCACGAATAGTCTTATAAAGCATAGTAGAGTATATTTCAACAGTTGGCGGAACTTACTCGACTGGGACCAGGAGGGCGAAACGGGATATTAATGCACAATCTGGCAACCCTATCGCACCCTCACAAAATGGCTGCTGACAACCACACAAGTCGCCGTGTTGTGATTGAATAGCATGGAATTAAACTTCAGAGTATGTTTTGTGACTGAAATACAATAATCAGCTGTATTCAAATAACGTCTAATATAAATATAACCCAGAATATCTACTCAGTGAAAAAAGAAAAATATTGCAAGTTTCTAGTTGTTCTGCAGATAGCTCTACGACATCTGTTTGGGTATTTCTTAATCGCTAATATAGTATGGATGTTTGTTAAGTTCCTGAACAACGAAAAATATTCAACTTTATGGACGTATGGATATTAAAAAACCAGAATGGTTTTGTGGGAATATCAATCTAACTATTATGTTCTGATGAACGGCAAGTAAATGAATGAATGTTTGGAAACAAGCAATATCTATGAACTTTTTGGTAGAGCCAGTCATCAAGTAGGTGCTTAATGGCTATCTGCAACAGGTTCATTGGAAAAAACACCCAGTAGATGATCTTGAATCAGTAAAATCGCATATCAATTGAAGAAAATAATATTATCATGAATAGAAAATCAATAATGGTAATTAAAACATGAATTTTATACAAAAATCAAACATTTGTTTAAATTTTGACTGAATTATATGTAATTTCTTAATATTCAATAAGCTGGTGATGTTTCAATGACAAGATGTCATCTCATACTTTGACAATATTTTGTTTTCAACATTTCATAGCTATTGGTTGCTCAAATTTGTTGATTGGAACTTGAAGCTTATTCGCTGTATTTGACCCTATAGGTGGAGAATAACGGACTGTTGTGTGTTGGTGAAATTGGTCTTTAGTAAGTTAAATAAAAATGGTAACTGAAGCTTGTAAATACACAAGCTTACCTTTTAAAAGTGAGACACAATAATTTAACAAAAACAGATTTCTCAACAAAACATGTACATAGAAACGTCAAATTTTTCACAAGTTTGTCTGAATGAATGTCACATGCTGTGACTTGTCGAAACATGTATAAACTGCGATTGACGACGCCGGGATTTGAAACAGCGGTTGACAGAATAAGTGGATATGATATTTAATTTCTAATTTTATGCGCGTAAATTAAACATTACTTTGTAATGTTATTTGTTAATGTTGTTTGTTTATTTTTTTTGTTTTTTCTTTCTAAAATGCAAACGCCTTTCTCCCCCACTTGACATCTCTCTATGCCCCCTTTGGGAGGCGCGCCCCCGTGGCTGGGAACTCCTGCACTAGAGCAGTGGGGCAAAATATAACAATACGTTTTCAAGGGTACTAAGTCTTTTAAGTAATTTTGTCTAGATTTTTAGGACAATTCGTTGATTTCATCACTACTGTAAAAGAGAGAGAAAGAGATGACCGGATGTATTCTGGCAGCTCGTAGCTGAGTGAGTTTCAGGGCAGTCGGTGGCGCAGACCATCAGTTACGTTACGCGGAGGTATCGATATCTCCTGCGAAACCTGAGCAAAATTTTGTTTGCTTTTCTCTAAATAAAACTGTTTATTTTTCTCCCAGGAAGTTTTAGTGCAACCCCTTTTAGCCTTTGGTATCACGCAGGGCTGCTGTTTTAGGAGATCCGACACAGCGTCGTTTCAACTGTTATATCGTGGTTTATGACGAAGGCACGACAGAGAAATTGACCTTTGCCGTATAACGCTGCGATACATTCTATTAGCCGACAAAGCAACTAATCTAAAGTAAATGGGAAAATGGAGCTAGAAATAAAGGTTTATAAAAGCGAAGATACTTTTTTATGGGTGCCCGATCGTAATGCAGAGCATAAGAGACAATGAAAGGCCCAAAGTCCAAATTAAAAGACAGGTGATATAACCTTTATGACGATAATATTTTTCCGTTTCCATGTTCCTTATATCATTGGTTGCTTTTCTATTATACCCTGTTGCAGATTCCAGGTTCGGCTAATTCGAGTACTACTCAGGGCATGATTTTTGACAGTCAACTTATTTAGCGAAAAAGATATCAGCAAATGGAAGCGTTTCATGATAAAAAATTACTCCTAGTGAGTGCGTTAGTTGAGTCGATCAGATGCAAGCATGTATTTGCAAAAAACATAAGCAGAGTTTTAAATTATAATGTCACATATTGTTTGTTAATACTCTACAATATTATGGTAACCTCAAATTCAGTCGAAATAAGACAGCGAAAAGCACCTATACCCTATTTCACGAGTATCCATCACGCTTAAACGTCTACTCAAGGTGAACAGCTGATCAGCAGGTGACATTTTTGAGTTAGTCTGTAACATTGCCAATAATAGATGGGGTATAAATCTAGTAAAACTTGTTTGTGGCGTTTTGTTTTTTGTATGCAAGTACAAAATGACTCCCTAGGTTAAAAAAAATAATACAAAATTGGGCTCTGTCTACCTGGTGTTGACGGATCCGTGAGAATTGTGTGTCCTGTGCCGATATGGAGAATTTTGAGATATTACTAGATAATCAGCTGTTATTCTACCGTGAAATAGGGTATATTATAGCCTCGACCACTGCGAAGAATGCATAGCTGCTATTAGTTGGAACCCTTAGGGATCTCAGTTCACGTTTAATATCCAAGTCACCACGTGACAGCTAGAGGACTGACGATTCTGGCTGTAAAGTAGACGTGGTCTACTTGCCATTGAATAAACTAAACATGATACTCTCGTCCGAGCAAAGAACAGCCAACGATGAACAGCTGTTTCGTGCTTCTTGGCTACTCATCAGCATGGACTAGGCTTGGTCTCTCGTCTCTAGACAAACGAACGAAAATACCGCAACTATCCTGTATCCCGGTCTATCGACACAAGTCAGCGCAAAGCAAGATCTGTCACACCAGAATCGACCACTGCGGACAATGCATAGCTGGTTCTAGTTGGAACTGTTAGGTGTCTCAGTTCACGCTTAATAGCCCAGTCACCACGGTGTGGTGGTTTGATAGACCGTACCTCCGATAGAAGACAGTTGCGATCTTTTCGGTCGTTTGTCCAGGGACTAGAAACCAAGCCTAGATCATGCTGATAAGTAGTCAAGAAGCACGAAACAGCTGTCCATGGTTGGCTCTCTGCGAGGGATATCCCTCAAATATTCATGCAAAGTGATCTTTATGGATCAACGTTTAAGCTGATGTTCTTATCGTTCAATAGTGACCGCATTAAACTATTAATTCATCTACGAGTATATCGCCCAGCGTCAATGGTGACATGGCGTTCTCTCATTGGCCCAAAATGCATAAATGCATAAAACTCTTTACGAGCGCACTACCTCTTGTAGTCGCAGGTATAAGCCAATACAGGAGTGCGTATGTAAATCACTTGGTCGTGTAATACCGTACACAATAATGGAATGTAGATTGACAGATGAAATTTTACTCTGGAATACTGTGTAAGTTTATTTTTAGAACATCTAAATTATTACAAAGTCTTACAACGATACTTGATGACCGCATACGAATTTCTAACTACGTTTTCTGCCACCATTTTTCTACCACATGAAACGCTATGGATACGACATAGACCATTTATCGTGAAAAATATATATTCTGCCAATTTTGTGTACTTCTTGATAAACATCGTCTGTTATAAACAAACAATGAACCATACGAATGACAAGTGCCAACAGTCTTATTCCCAAGGCTTTAAGCACGGGAAGAAAAGTGCACTTTTGACGTTGCAGAAGGATTACTTTGTACTATTTCCGAACACATTGAACAGGTATGTCAAATAATTACGAAAGCTGAAATTGTTACAGTGCAAATTACGCTCTGTATCAATTTACGAACGCAGCCCAGCCCTTCTATGCTACAATTATCAAAAATGGAAGTTGTAATTGGTAAAAATGCTCTTGCTCTTGTTGTAGTATTTACCTATTTATTGAAAAGTCTTAACCATCAACTAAAGAAGACGTCAAATAATCGTCGAATCATTGGCTTTTGACTGTATCCCAAAATCCCAAGCCTCAATGTATTGAAATTCGTGTCATGCGTAACGCACTTAAATGAGATGGTATCCCGAACATAATGGCTGCATGAATTTCGAGTGTTAATACCTCAGGCAGTTTGTGTATTTAATTTCAAAATTAACCAAGTATTTGAAACACAGCTTAGTAAGACCGAAGCCTAGCTTCCTTACTACACATCATTTGCCATATTATCTAAGTTTTTGGATCTTTTATCCCGCCGCTGATATAACATACCATTTGGAAGTGAACTTTAAATATTGCTGTGGCCCAATCCTTATAACCTTAAACCACCAAATCCACAATTACAATGCCGCATCAGCTAGTCCACACATTTTACGTCAGATCGCTTCGGGATATGATATTCTGCGTTGTCTGGTAAGTCCAAGAGGAGGCCTAGATGGCACGTAGAGAGAACACAAAGCGAAATCAGGCTAACCGCAACCACACACACCGGTTTAATGCAGGGATACCCATGAAATTGTGCGTTCCTGCCTCCGACAGAGATATAGAACGGCCTGAACGTGATTGTGTAACTATCTCCATTTTGCCTACGAGCGGAGTAGTTTGGATTAACGATGTTTGCGTCCTTTTACTCCAATTACCTACTAAGGTTTTCATGAAGGTCATGCATTAACGATGGTTTTTGTGAAGATGTTCTAAGAACTATTATAAGCAGGGATGCACAGGGAACTACTTTTTTCAAAACGTCAAGAACCGGGTACTGGGGCAAATCTTAATTCCGAGTACCGGGTACTCGACCGAATAATCGACCTGGTACTCGGTGGACTGGTGGGTTATCTCAGCTACTGTTAGTGATATTAGCAGTTTGAATGGCACTTGTTCTCAGAATTCGTTCACTTTTCCAAAAAACTAATGCATCCCAAAAAGTTGTACAGCTCAGACAATATCTTGGCAAGTGTAGCTTCGTAGGTTGGTGAGCTTATGGTTTTTCCGAAACATTCATGTTCAGGAACAGCTAAATATATGTTTTTACCGTTGAATTAAGCAGCGATAATCTTGAGTTAGGATTGAAACCATATTTCGAAGCTTTATTTTCGGAACATTTAAATTTGATATACTTTTCTATTCTTGCGATTAAAGGAAAAGCACATCTATCTGTGAGACATTCAAAAGGTATTTACTCAATATTTTAGATCTACATATTTGTCAGGCAATGCGAGACCTAAAGCTTCTCAAATTTCGGAAGACACATAATAGAATCCCTACTATACATGGTCGTCGCCAATTCTAAATTTAAATCCTATATGTTTATCCTCCTTTCAGGAGGTTACACAAAAGAAACACACAACTGCTGGGTAATGACGGAGACAGAGAAAGGACTAAACCAAATTGATTAAATGAATTTGGGAAACGGTTTTGTTTGTATGAGCGCGGAATTGCCGTCATTTACGTTAAGTTTGCTGCATTTTGTTAACCTTTATGGTTTATAATGTTTTTTGAGTGTTCATATAAGAGGTAAAGGATCAAATAGAAATTAAAAAAAGAAATGCAATGTGGCTTCAGTTGAACTGATATGGTAGCTGCTTCATTAAAAAACATGTGACATTTACTGACAAATCATCTAAATCAGGTAAATAATTCAGCAAAAATATGCTGTAATCTTAGATATTTCTTTGACGGTACGTTAATGTCTTGGGTTCATAACATGAAGGTTTGGGCTTTGCACCTCAGAGACGCGATTTTTTGATTTACACAAGTTGTGTGTTTTGTGACTCAAGAACGATTAAAATTTTCCAAAGTTATTAAGTGCTAAAGCCACTTCTCGCCTTCTATGCCCTAAAATGCTCAGGAAATTGGAGATCATTACAACAAAAGAGTTTTGAAAAACACAAGAAACAGGAACATAGTTTTAGGATGCTTCCATGGTATTTTTCATAAAGGTCCGGTGCATGCAAAAGCATCTAAAAAATCTCACAAATTCGAGAATCTGTGTCTTACCATACAGTTACTTCCTGTAATCGGCAAATTCATTAAAAAGTAAATGCTCGAGTTTGTGTTTAACCAATTGTGAAAGGAAAAAGGACGAAGAGCATTTACCGTGCGAATTAGCCTATAGATAGAAAGATAGTTTATTGTCTTTGGATCATAGATATGATATAAGACTCGTCAGATATACGAGTATGTACCTATATTTATAAGTACGCTATTAATAACAGTTGTCAGAAAACTAGCTGTGAAATTAGAAATAATCACAATTGGTGGAAAAAAGGCAATACTTAATAGCTTAATCAATGAATGCAATTTAAAAAAAAAAACAAGGTTGAAATTAAGTTTTTTTTACCCCGAAGCACCGCGTGTTCCAAGATGATGCTTCGCCGCCGTCCTGAAATGTTTAACTGCCACCTTTACGCTGAAA